GGGGGCCCCTGGAGCCACATTGTAGAGGAGGTTTGGCCTGTCTTCAGTGCCCCCCAGCCCCCCCCAAGGCTCTCAAAGGCCCCTTCTTCCCTGGGGGGAAGGTCGGGGGCGGGGTGCCTGGTGAACTGGAGCCGAAGTCACTCCTCACCTTCGCCCCTCGCCCCTCGCCCGTGAGGAAGGAGCCCTCGACTGTACCCGCTGACGTCTCTCACTCACTGTGTTGGGCACCCTCTCGGGGGCTCTTTTTGCCTGTGACCTGGAATGAGGTGTGGTCATTGGTCCCAAACTGTTACTCCTCCAGGTAGGGAAACTGAGGCAGATGGGTTACAAATCCTGTCCACGGTCACACAGGCAGTAAGTGGCAGGGCCGTGACTTACAGCTGCACCCCACCAAGGCAGGCACCGCCCTGAAATGAAGAGGGGCGAGTCCTCCCAGGGCCCTGCGGTCCCGGCGCCCCATCCCACCACGCCCCCCACCCCCATCAGCAGTTCCCACATCCCTACCGCCCACCCGACCCCATCTCTTGCCCTGACATCCTCGTCTTGCCCCCTTTGCCCATGTCCCCTTTCTCTCTTCCACCTGCAAACGTCAGACGGGAAACAGTGGGCAACCCGCCCTGCAAACTGCTCGGGGCCACCCAACCTCTGCTGGGCACTGGCCGCCAGCAGGCGGACTTTCGGAGCTTCCGAGCCGACTCCAGCGAACAGTCCCCGTGCACTGCCACGGCCACCATGCTGTGACTAGTTAATCACAGAGTGTACGGAGCTTTTAATTAACTGCCAGCCTTGCTCGGGCAGCTGTTCTGCAGCCGCTTCCGACCGCAGCTCCCCCCTTCGGGCTGATGGAACACTCGGATTGCGTGGGGCTGGGGCCGGGGCCGGGGCCCGGGCATCTGTGCTGCGGGAGTGGAGCCGCGGCCACTGCAGCCCCAGGAGACTGCCGGCCTGGGAAGGAGAGGAGGCAGCCGTCTGTCTGGGTGCCATCGGGCCAGCGAGGGTGGGAAGGACACCCCAGCAGGTCTGTGGCAGTGCACGGCCACGACGTTATTTGTGCTCCAGAACCGTCAGCTCACACTAGTGTGAGGAGCAGAGAGACCTCTCGGTGCCCTGTGCCCCGAGGGCATGAAACTTCAGGCGTGGCGGGGCCCAGGGGTGCAGTGGCATTGCCCACGCAGGCAGGGTGGAACTGGCTCAGGACAAACCGTTTATGACTCGGAGCTCATGGGGCACAGACCGGACAGCGAGGTGACTTCACCTCCCAGGGGAGTCCCCTGGCTCCTCTCTGGCTCAGTGATACCCTCCCACCCCCAGGAGACCGGAGCCTGACTCCCCGTACAGCCCGAGCACCTTTCTCTCAAACTGTCTGGCCCGTGTCCCCGCCATCCAGTGGGACAGGGTCCGCAGCCTCAGCTCTACCCGTGCTGGGGCTGGGCAGTTCCTTGCTGTGGTGGGGGTGGGGCTGTCCTGGGCACTGTGGGGGAGTTAGCAGGCCCCGGGGCCCACCCACTGGAGGCCAGAGGCACCCTGTGCCCCATTCGTCACCACCAAACATGTCTCTGGTCTCGGCTGCTGGGCAGAAGCCTCCACAATGAGTCCCTGCGACAGACACCGAGGCTCAGCAGTCCAGACACAGTCTCAGCCCCAGATCCCCCCACACTGGATCCGGCTGCCCACCATCCAGGGCCGGCCACGCTGTGCCCCAGCTGGGCCAGACCGCCCTGCCCGGCCATCTAGGAGAGGCAGGAGTGGGCAGGAACAAGCCCAAGCTGTCTTTCGGGGCAGCAGGATGAGCCCCCCAAGAGCCCAGCCAACGCTCCTCTGCTCATTCTTGCCTCCTGGCTGTAGCCGCCACCGCCTCCCCAGGCCATGGCCTTGTGTGGTCAGCGTGTCCCCACAGCACTCCCGCCCTTGGCCCCCCGGAGGCCCAAGTGTCCGTGGTCTGCACTCATCGCTGCCATTCACTACACACCTATCATGTGCCTGGTGCAGTGCTGGGGACTTTATCTGGACGCCTCACTGAATGCTCACAGTCTCGTGGAGTAGAAACTACTGTTGGCTCTGTTTTATGGAAGAGGAAGCTTAGAACAGAGAGGGCAGGCAAACTGCCCGAGGACACACAGCTGGCACGTGGTGGACTCCCACGTGCCCCAAGTTTCCACAACTTTGCAGAGCCCTTGGTTGTCTCATGAGCTCCTCCCAACACACCCGGCCTACGAAGCCAGGCTGATGTGGGTGCAGTTTACAGACGAGGATGTTGAGGTTTGGGGAGAGTCAGCCTCCGTGACCAGGAGAAAGGAGCAGACTGAGGCTCTGCCCTGGTCTGGGGGTCGCCAACTCACAGGTCTTCGGGGACAAGCAGGTGACGTGGCCAGGTGCGAAGGGCCGGGGGCGGGTGGGGGTTCGTGGCAGCAGACCACACGCACGCCTCACCGCGGGGAGCCGAGCCTGCTCAGACCACATTGTCTCTGTGTTATCACAGCAACCTGAGCTCTCGGCTGCTTCTTAAATGAAGTGTCCTCGTTTCTAAGACACCGTTCAGGCTGAATAAAACTCGTCTGTGGGCCACACATCACCTGCCCGGTTGAGTCCTTTCCCCTGCCAGGTTGAAACACAAGACTGAAAGGCAGAGTGGACCCAAGGTCCCCGGGCCACAGCCAAGCATGTGGAGCCAGGGGGAGGGTGGTGCTGCATCCAGGGCTCCCAGCCGGCTGCTCCTGGGGTTTTGCACCCCCTCACGGCCCTCCAGCCCCGAGCCCTGTGCCCTGGGAAGGCAGCCAGAGGCCTCCCTGGGGCCCCGCAGAGCAAAGGAAGGACAGCACAGGACGAAGGAACCCGGGGGCGCTGCGCATGCAAACCGCAGCCGTGCACAGCACATCCTTCCCGAGGCCTAATTGAGACGTCCGCGCGGAGCGCCCTGGAAAACTAGGGCAGGCGCAGCGCTGAGAGTCGGCCGCGCCCGCCTCGGACACCCCTCTGAGACCCGGGACCGTGGCTGTTCGGCACAATGCGGACCGGCCACAGGGAGGCAGTTCTCACTAATAAGATTGTATATATTTGAAATGGCCCTTGAGAATTACATTGATACTGAGTATTAAAACGCCAGAAAGGAGGACAAAGTGGAAGAGACAGGTGGCCGATCTCTGCGGGGACTCCGAGGCACCGCGTGGAAAGTCCCCTGTGGATTTTGCCCGAGGCATCTGGCCGGGATGGTTAGTGGCACCGGGAAACCTCTGTCAAACTCCTGGCTCTTGATCTCTGAGGGGCGGCCTCGGCCTGAACCCCGGTCCTCAGACTCTCCCCCCTCTTGGAGCCCCGCAGGGATCTTGTGGCCGCGGTTCGGGGACCTGGGGTCCTGTCCCGGCTGCACTGGTTCCCAGGTGAGTGGGCTTGGGCAGGTTGCCCCCCTCTCTCTGCCTCAACTTAGCTTCTGCCCTTTAGCCTGAGGGCCCTCCCAGCTGTGCGAGGACCCACCGAGTCACGGGCTGCCCGTGGGCACCCCGGGGCCTGGGCAGGGCCACACGGGCTTTGCCCAATCAGCGTTTCCTTTTAAATCTGTCTCCAACTAATTGCACGTGAACTCCAGGTTTTCTGGCTTTTGTTTAAAAAGTCAGGCTCTGGCCACACGGCTGCTTGCATGGCTTTAATCGGCTGAAGCTGAGCGCCAACGCCAGCTCCCTCCAAGCCCCACGCCCCACTGCCTGCACGCAGCCGCCTCCCACTTGAACTTGAGACCCCTGATTCGATGCAGCAGATAGGAAAGGTCTTTGGGAAAGGCCTCATCATTATTCATGGAATCTCTGGGTCCCCCGCTATTTTGCATGGACCTTGGGCAGGTCTCTGGGGTTCTCTGGGCTCTGGTCTGCCCCCCGTCAGTGGAAGGAGCGGCCACTCGGCCCTCCGGGGGCACACCCAGCCCTGATACTCGGACGCCGCAGTGGCTCTGCGGTCAGACAGGCTGCTGACCGCCTCGGTGCTGCCGTGGTCTCTGTGGGCAGTGGGGGGAGCTGTTCACGGCAACAGGCTTCACGGCCGATCCTCCGTGTGAAACGTGCTGGGCAGGAGGCAGCGGGACAAGGTGCAAGGGGCTGAGTGATAGCCCAGAACCCGGCCAGTCTCCCTCCGCAAACAAAGTGGAATCCAGACATTTTCACACATGCAAAGACTAAGAGAATTCAGTGCTAAAATCCTGCGAATATATTGTAAAATGAATAAAGCCTGATGCAAAAAACTAGGTGAAAATGATTCCATGTACATTCCAAATGACATTCCATGTCATTTGATTCCGAAGCTCAAATGACAAAAACCGGCCCGGTCAGAGTCAGAACAGTCTACCTGTGGGGCAGGTTGGGGCGGGGCAGGTTGGGGCGGGGCGGGGCGGGGCCCCAGGAGCTCTCTGGTGTCTTCATTTGTGATCCCTGCGCTTTTCTGTACAGTTTTCTTCGATAATAGTTTTTTTTTAAAAGCCTGACCATGCCACCCCCTCCTGTTTGAACCCCTCTGTTGTTCTCCTGCTTGCCTCTGCTTCCCCGTTGGAGCCACCCCTGAGCTCCAAGGGCCTGCCTGGTGGCCTCTGCCCACCTCCCACCAGCCACCCTGGCCTTCTGTCGTTCCCCCACCCTGCAGACGTCCGTCCTGCCACGGGGCCTTGGCTCGTCCCGGGGCCCGGAGCCCTGTGGCAGCCTACTTCGTCTTTCCGGCCAGGCAGGGGTGTGGCCCACCCCCGACCCCACATAGTCCAGTCCTCGGCCTCAGGCTCAGAGCTACACCCTTCCCTTCAGCACAGGCAGCTTCATCGGTCATTGTGCGGTCACAGAGTCACTGCTGGACTGCTGAGAGTGACCTCACAGTCATCCTCTGGGCCTCCCCCCACCCCTGCCTAGAAGGCCAGTACCTCAGCCGCTGGCCTAACTCCACCCTCTCTGCTCCCTTCTGGAGGCCGAGCCCTCCCACTGAGTCCCCAGGCCAGCCCCTAGGGACAGAGGGGCCGACACAGGGAGAGCATGCCGCCTTCTGACCCAAGGCCCCCCGCCAGCCCCTCATGGTTAGAGAAGTCGGAGGACCTGAGGGACGCGTTGCCTACGGAGAGGAAGTCCATATGGCGGACGGCGGAGGAGAGGCGCATGTCCGACCTCACCCGGGTGCTCGAGTGGCTGGAGCGGAGGCAGGGCAAGAAGGACCGGGCTGCCCAGGCGCATGAGGTGGGGCCGCCACGGTCTCTCAGGGTCACTAGCGCACTTGGGCTCTGCGCGCCCCCGAGAGGGAGGCGGGGGTGCTGTCTGTCCTGGGGAAGGCGTTTCCAAGGCGTGGCCCCAAGTCATCGAGAAAAGCAGTCCTGGGTTGTAAGAACGGACGGGTCTGAGTTTTCTGAAGGAAATGCCGGAGAGGGGGAAGGTTGGGGGGCCCAGGGAATGGAGGAAACCAGAGACTCGAGGCCGCCATGGTCGGTGCCTGCGGAGGTCTGGGGAGTGGCAGCTTCTGGGGTCTTTTCCACTGTCCCCAGACACTTGTGTCCTCATGACGAGGACTCCAGGGTCGAGGGGCACCCACTGTCCCCTCTGCAACTCCCGCTCTCATGTCGCTGCCTCCACACGCTGCCCCAGGTCGGGCCAGCCCGTCCCAGTGAGTCCAGGCTGCCCGGCTGAGCCCCACAGACGGCGGGTGGGGGGGCGCGTCAGCAAAGGCCTGGGCAGGTCTGCGGCCTGGGCAGCCCTGGGCCGAGGCAGCTGTGAGTTTGGTTGGGGTCTGGTGGGGGCCCACCTCCTGACTCGTAGATGGCTGTGTCCTCACTGTGTCCTCACGCGGCAGAGGCGGCAGGAAACTCTGGGGGCACTGACCCCATCCGTGGGGGGGCCCCACCCTCACAACTCAATGTCCCCAAAGGTCCTACCTCCTGATACCATCCTGGTGGGAGTTAGGACCTCAACACATGTCTGTGGGGGGCACCCACGCTGCTCAGTCTGCAGCACTATACTTCCCTCAGGGTCCCCCCACAAGCCCCCCCAGGCTGCAACCTATGGGAAATCAAGTCACGTCTTCGGAAAGCGGTCTCCACGGAGGACTCCGCCGACCCTGGCTGCCCAGTCCCCAGAGCAACGCGGGTGGAAAACAGTGGCACTGAGCACCATGCTGGCTTCCGGCGTTCCCTGGGAGCCAGGCCCCAGGCTTAGCATCATCTCGCCGGCTGCCCCCAGTGAGGCTTGGGGTCCGCTCTGGCCCTGTTCCCCGGCTGAAGGAGGGGGCTCTGGGGGAAGAGGAGTCGTTTGCTTGAGCTCAGGGTTAATTAAGGGGTGAGCCCGGATGCAGACTCAGTGGATCCAGGTCCCATGCTCAGGGGCTGGGTCGGGCCAGCTCCCCAAGCCCTGCTCTCTCTGGCTCCGAGCCTTTCAGGAAGGTTCCTGCCCTGTTCACGGGCTTCTCATCACTTCCATTTGCGGCACTGGCCAGCCGATTCCACCGGAGGTGCATCTGACACCCAAGTGCTGCCGGCTCACTGACGGCCTACCCCTGCCCCCGCCTCGTTTCTGGGGCTGCGGAGGCTGGGCTGCTGGGCGCTCGGACCTCCGATGACCGCCAGTCCCAGGAGCTGTGCTCACCTCTGACAAGTATGTTTGCTCCCATTTCTCCCCACGAAGATGATGTTCTAATGATGTTTGCACGGCTCTACCTTATATGTGGCCTTTATCATAAATAATTTTGGAACTGGGACAGAGCAAACTTGAATGGAAAAGACAATGAAATCTTCAAGGATCATTACCCTTCCCGGGAGCATTTGGATTTTTAAAGAAGTAACAGAGAAAGGAGGTGATGCTTCTGCGACAGGCAGGGGGACCCTTTGGTGTGGCCGCCGCAGCAGTGCCGCCTGTGGCCACCTGTTCCTTGTCCTGCAGGTCCAGGCCTTTCCCCATTTCAGCATGGCTGCAGTGCCGCCCCCCCAGAGGGCCGTGGCCCTGGGACCCGTCCAGCATCACAGAGGACCCCAGAGGTCCCATGTCTTGGCCACAGGACCGATGGCTCAGTGGCTGTGGCAGGAGCACATCGATTCCACCCAGCTCTCCCCAAAAAGGGGGCTGCTTCGGGGACTCCTGGGGAGAGACCGGCCTCTGGACATGCTGGCTGGGACCTCTACTCTCAACTTAAAACCCCCCTCTCCCCACTGAGAAAGACAAGTCGCAGAGGTGGCCTCAAGCACGCCCTCAGACAGCTGCCTCCCCACGCCCGGCCAGCTCGTCACGACAGCCCCGCCCCTTCCAGCGTTACTCACGAGAACGGACGGCTCCGCGCACCCATGCAGCTGGTCCCTGTGTCCCCTGATTTCTCACGATGACCCTGGGGGGCGGACCCTGCCACCGACTCATCCCAGAGGAGGGGACCGAGCCACGGAGAGAAGCCACGTGCCCAAGGCTGTCCTGGCACTGGCCGCAGACAGGGTTCCAAGCCAGGCTGCCACCTCCCCACTGCCATCAGTGGCGCACCCTGCGAGGGGACCCAGTTAACGTGGCCTTCCTGAGATGCTCACGCCCCACCACCCCTCGTGGGTGGGCTCGGATGCCCCTCCGCGGGCCACTCCTCACCGGCCCCCCATGCTCCTCACACAGCCTTCCTCCCTGCCTGCCCGTGGGTGCGGAGGGCCGGGAACCTGCACAAGGAAGCCCACTTGGGGACATGGGTGGCATGCTCAGCCCCTGGTGGCCGCAGGGAGCATGTGCGACAGTGGCAGCCCTGGGAAGACGGGGTGGGAGGCGGGGTAAGGGCGGGAGGGACCTCGGGGCGGGGAGAGAGCCCCCTCACCCAGAGGCTGTGGCAGGGAAGTCCCAGCTAGACAGGCCGCCTGGGGACTGGAGGGCATTTGTACTGGGCCAGGGAGTGGGGACCTCCCATGGTGGGTGACAGGGAGCTGGTGATGGGTCCTGAAGGGGGACAGCCAGACTGGGGGGGGGGGGGGGACTCGGGCGCCAGGCGTGTCTGGAGGCAGAGGGACTGGGAGGGGGACTGGGAGGGGGACAGGGAGGGGGACAGGAGGGCCAGATGGGGGCCGAAGCTCGGGGTGGCTGGGTGGGAGGGGACACAGGCCTTTTCTCTCTGCCCTTTCAGAAACTCACCCTGGTGGCGCCCCCCCGTAAGGCCCAAGCGAAGGAAGAAAAGAAAGCCAGATTCGCCCAGAAGCAGGAAAAACAGAGCCACCGGGTGTCATTCTCCGAGAAGGTAACACAGCCCCCGCCCGCTCCAGGTGCTCCTCTCCCAGGCCCTGTAGGACCACTTTCTAAAACCAGAATCTACGGCTCTAAAATCCGGTCCTGCCTCTCACTAACACCAGATGACATTGCCCTCCCTCCACGCCCCAGCTCCCGCCCAACAATCCACCCCACCCCGTGGAAGATGAGCGCCCCGCGGCAGAGGGTCCCGTCGCCCCCCTCCCCGTGCCACTCGGACATGCCGGGGGAAGAGGCGGGCACTGACCTCCGTGCTCCCAGGCTACGGGGTCCTCGGCCCCACACGCTTCCCTGGGACACAGCGTTGCAAGAGGCACCGGCGTGCCACCCCTGCCCCCTTGCCGCCTGTCAGCGAGCCCTTCCCAGCGCTCCCTCGGGGGCGGAGGAGGCCACACCTGCTCCCTAGCATGTGACCTCTGCCCTGCTTCCCTCCAAGGAGCCAGAGGTGAACAGGAAGGACAGAGACGCCGTCACATACCGAAGGCTCTACGGCGTGGAGGCCAAGGGAAAACGCCTGAGCATGGTCCCCGGCAGCTACGTGAAGGACGGCGCTGGGAAATCCGGTAAGGGGGGCACACACACGGGCCCCGACCCGCTCCACGGTGGCCCCCCAAACCCCGCTCCTCCCGAGGGACTGACGGTGCCCGCCCTCCCGGGGCGGCAGCATCCAGAGCAGCCCGGCCGTCTGGAGTGTGGGCCTCTGCCCCCCTGTCTCCCCGTGTCCCCCACGAGGAGGTGGCTGCATGTCTCCACACTTTCCTCTGAGATGGACCTTTTATTAACTAGTTTCTTTTTTCAATCCTCACCTGAGGATTTGTTTACTGATTGAAAAGAGAGAGAGAAACATTGATGTGAGAAAGAAACATTGGCCTCTTGTTTCCTGCACGTGCCCCAACCAAGGAGCGAGCCCGTAGCCTTGTGGTGTGCGGGGTGCCACTCCAGCCATTGGACCACCCAGCCAGAGCTGTGACGTATCCTTTTTCCTCTGGCTTCTTTGGAGAATTTTTTTGAGCAATTTTAAAACAGATTTCATTTATTTTGAGAGAGAGGAAAAGGGAAAGAGAAAGAGAGGGAGAGAAACATCCATGTGCGATTGCCCCTTGTGCCCCCAATTGGGTACCTGACCCGAAACCCAGGCATGTGCCCTGACTGGGAATCGAACCACTGACCCTTTGGTTTGCAGGTCGGCACTCAACCCACTGAGCCACACCAGCCAAGGCCGGTTTGACTGGAGTGCACATTGATGTCATTTGCTTATGGTTTGTTGTGTTTTGAGGTTGTTGAGATTCTTGGTTTATAGTTTCCATCAAACTTAGAAAATCTTGGCCATTATTTCTTTAAATATTTCTTTCTGTCCTCCACTGCCGCCTCTCTCTCAGGCCTACAAGACATCCGTTTGAGGCTCCACAACTCACCAGGGTTTTTCCTAGGCTTTTCTTTTGGGTTTCCTTTTTGTATATTTTCTGTTGCTGTGTCTTCAAGTTCACTCCTCTTTTCTTTGCAACGCCTATTCGGATGCTCACCCCATCCCATGTGTCTTTCACTCCAGACACGGTCGTTTTCATTCTAGAACTTCGGTGTTGACGCATTGTCAACGTCCTGGCTCTCTTCTCCCCATGCCCAAGCCGTGGTGACCGCATGGAGGACAGCTGCAGTCCCCGCTTTCACGTCCGGTCCGCCCGTCCCCTGAGGTTCCCCTCCCACGCACGCTGGCTGGTCTCCTGTCTCCCCGCCCTGGGACTCCTCGCTACCTGGGCCCATCCCAGTCGTCTGCTGCCCCCCCGAGTGGGGAAGCCACGGGCTCTGCCTCGGTTCCCGCCCTGTGCCGCAAGGGTTGGCTGGGGCTCTCGTGGGACTCATCTGTTTTGCTTTAGGAAAAGCAGACCCGTTGTTTCACAGAACAGGTCCGGTTCTGTAACTGCTCAAGGTGGAGGATCCGCCCCTGCTCCCCATCTCGGCGGAAAGCAAAGGTGTCAGCTGGGCCTCTCCAACACGCAACACTGGCAGCTACTATGGCAAATCGCAGCCCCCCTCCAGGTGGCCGCCCCCCCGCCCCTGTTCCCATCCCTGGAGGCGGCCTGGACTCTGCCGGTGAAACCTGACCGGCTCACAGGAAGGACAGCTGACTTACAAAGGAAAAGGAATCAGAGCAGCATCTGGAAGTGAGAAACGCACCGTTTCTGAGAGGAAGACCTGCCGCCCGATGACCCTAACGCTGTCCCCGGACACATGCATGTCATCGTGTGTGACCCCGCACATGTGAGAACATGCAGGGGCTCTCTCGGCCGGGCACCCCCTTCCACTTCGGAACACGCGCTGGGAGACAGCTCAGGCCCCAAACCGGGGAACCACTGGTTTAAAATGAAAATCTAGATATGCACTGAAAACTACTAACATGGAAGAACGGTGAAAAACCTAACAGGTAGACAGAGCGGGAGGAGACACCACTCGCTGAAGCGAAATTCAGGCTAAAAGACACACACCAACTAGAAGAGGGGTCTTCTGCAATCTTTAAGAGAAAAAAATAACCTGAAAACCTGCACGCACCAAAAAATATAGTAACTAAATAAACATTTAGAAGCACAAGGAGAACATGATAGAGATGTGTTGCCATGGGGACTTGAATGTACCCCTTTCAGAACCAGACAATGGGTAGCACAGACAGTAACAGAAACCCAAAGAATAACCACGCCATGGACAGAGCCCAACTTTACATATAAACAGAGAACGCACGTTTTTATATGACCAGAGAATACTTACAACTGTCATCTGTATATTCGTCACAGAGAAAACATCACCCTTCCGAAAAGCAAAGATTTTAGGGCCACTCCCAGTGTTCTAAACCAATAATTAAAAATAACATTAAGTTAAGAGGTACCCCCGCTTAACAGTTGGAAATGAAGACATGCATTTCTAAAATACCCTCTCTATCAAAGGGGGAAAAGCTAGTGAGAATAAGGCTGTTTTAGACCAAAACCTGTGGGTGGACAGCAGAATCTACAATCCGACGAAAACGTACAGGAAGTTCTGATGGTGGTGGCTCTTGTCTTCGCAAAACAAAAGTGACAAAGAATAAACTAATACTCTTATTCACTTCATAAGATAGAAGAAATAATACAGCAGAGAGAGAACTGACTCGTCAAATACCGGCTGAGAGTAATGAAATACAAGACAAAAAGCGGTCGAAAGGATAAATCCAAAGCTAGCTTCTGGAAACATGCGGTGAGTGACAAGAAGTCATCGCGAGCCTTTCTACAAAGAAGGGCGAAAACACACAAGGCCTTGCGTGAGAGAGGTGTGTAAGCAAAGATAAATACAGTAAACGAATCTTAACGGAAGGCTCCCTGCATCTCTATACAATATACTTGGAAACCCAGAAGAAGGGAGTAATCCCATACTACAAATCTCATACTACAAATGATCAAAACTGATACAATAAAGAGCAGGAAAAGCCAAACAGCGATCTCTGCAGTAAATATCCAGAGACGGTGACACTTGGTCACGAACATGGACGCCAGGGACAAAGGCCTTCACACCAGCCTCTTTCTAACCTGTAGGAGCAAATGATCCCAAAGCCACTTCAACTACTGCAGACCCTACAGAGTACGGCCAATCTTGCGTTAATTTAACCAGCCCTCGTAATCCTGATATTACAACATTATGCAAAAGTAGGACGATCTCACCATAGTATAGATGCAGAAAATATAAAAACTTTTAGGAGATACACTCAGTGTGTGAAAATATGTTAAATGTATCGATGTCTGCAATGAATGATGCACCACGAACGAATGGGATTTATTATAGCAGGTTAGGAGGGGCCAGGTTTTCCATATCAACATATCTAATAACAATTTATTACACCAATAAATTAAAGGAAAAACCACATGATTATTGATGATAAAAAATCAATGACAAAATCAAGCAGTTATTACTGATAAAAACCTATGTAGTCAAGGAGTAAAGCTGTTACATGCTATAAAATATATCCCAAAAGCAGTGGCAAATGTCACGCTAAATGGTGAGGTGCTGAAATCATTTTCACTAAAATCAGAGACAAAATGAGGCAGGCCTGCTCCCTTTATGGACATTGTTTTCCTGGAGAGTCTCTCAGGTACATCGAGAAGAGTGCATAGTTTTTATAAATATTAGAAGCTATGTTCATTTCTCCTAATACTGCATATCTGCGAAACACAACAAATTCTAGTCAGAAATTAATAAAAGTTGGTGTCCTTGTAGGTGTGGTAGAAAAAGTATTTTTAAAAAGCCTAGTCTTTTTCCTGTCTTAGTCATACCAGTTAGAAATGAAAATGGGAGGAATATTCCACTCTTGTCAGCAAAAATCTGTAAAATACTTAGAAGTTAATTTAACAAAAAAAAAATTACAGTCTCTAAGCTCTACCCCCAGTAGTGCCTCATTTGGCACAGATCCCACATTTGGGCACTTTCAGACACTCACCAGTTCATATGTTTCTACCTTTTGCCTTTGCGCACGCTGTTCCTCCTACAACACACACTGTTCCTCCCACCTGCACACGCCGTTCCTCCTCACTGTACACTGTTCCACACTGCAATGCTCCTCTCTCCCCCTTTCATCTTGTTTCCTTTAGAAACCAGCTCAATGTTGTTCTCCCCTGAGATCTTCCTTCAACCCTTCTAGGCTAGAGCTCACTCTCAGGCAAGCTCCATCTGGGGAGGGAGCAGAAGAGTCGAGAGAAGGTGATAAAAGAGAAAAGGGAGAGGAAGGGAGTCAGGGAGTACGGAGGGAGGACAAGACGCGGTCACACAGATGCTGAGGAGGAGAAGCTGCCTCGGCCCTGAAAAGACCTTGTGTCTTAGAGCAGGTGTGCTTGGAGGCCCACGCCGTCTCCCCACCCCGCGCCCCTGCCCACCCTGCCTGCCGCCTCTCCCGGATCTGACTCCCACCGCGCTCTGTCCCATTGCAGACATGGAGATCAGGGACCCAGTCATCCCAGAGTCCAGTCAGCGGTCGATGCCCTTCTCTCGACAGAGCCTGCAGGAGACGGTGTTACAGGACCCTACCTTTGCGGGGCGGAGGTCGACCCTGCTGAGAGACTGGGTCGGCAAGATGCCCGACACCACCTACGACCGCAGGCTGAAGAGCCTCATCGACAAGGGCGTGGACCCCAGGGTGGAGGTCCTGAGGATCCTGAAGCCGGAGGAGGTGCTGAGCTGCCGGTGAGCGGCCCGCAGGCGCGGCTGGTGTCCCGGGAGGGTGTGCTTCGTTCGCTGCCGTCCCTGGTCCAGACCCCTGGGCCGAGCCCTGAAGGGGGGCCTCACCTGCCAGTGCACCGTGCCCTGAGTGGACACAACCTCTGGGTGCTGCCATTTGGACACGTAAGACCGTCCTGGTGTTTCCGTTCATTTTGCAATGGGAGCCCCCAGCGTCACTGGGAAGGAAAGAGTGGGCTGCGTGTGGGCCCAGGAAGTCCCCTGAGAGTATGATGCTGGGGTGGCCGCGGTCAGCAGCCATACTCCCCAAAGGGTCACCCGCTTGCTGTGGGGGTGTTCAGACTCCCGAAGGGACCCAGACAGGGTGGGACCACCTAGCGTTCACCGCTCTTACTGAGGGGTCTCCGTCCTCACTCTCTGTCTTGTCCATCAGACCCGCTAGCTCTCAGCCACACCAGGCAACCCCTCAGTCTCCACCCCAAAACCTGAGTATCCCCCCCAGCCCAGTATCATCTGCCACTGTGGGGACGTGACTGATGAGGCTCGGTGACCTCAGCAGAGACCGGTTCTCCTCGCAGAGTTGAAGCAGCGGCCTGGTCTGTAGGTTGCAGGTGGCCGCAGGGCTGACCAGCTGGGAGATGGGCAGGTGGACCCGTGATCTGGTGGGAGACGAACAGGCAGCTTCTCCCAACTCAAGGGGGATCTCGCCCCGGCTGCTTCCATGGCCGATGGCCGACGGCCTTGGGCCTGGCTGTGGGATCAGCAGGGCTCCCAACTGGCCTGGCCTGCAAGCAGACAGCCAACCTGGGCTCCACAGTTGGGGGGGCAGATATTGGACAGGCCCCCTCCTCAAGGGAGGGGGAGAGTGTTTGCAGAGGAGACATCCAAGAGCAGAATGAAAGTGTCCAGAACCGGGCCTCAGCGAGTGCCCACTCGTGAGAGCCTGTAGCACCAGGCGGCCAGGGGTAGGATGGGGTAGGGTGGGGTGGGGTGCACTGCGGCAGGAGCTGGCAGCAGGAGGCGGCCCAGGGGCGGGGCTGGCCGGCGGTCTGAGCCTGGGGTCAGAACAGGAAAGCCCTGGGCGGTCTCGAAGGAGAGGCGGGGCTGCCCCTGATGGGTCGGAAACCCCCGGTGGGTCAACCTGCAGCTCCTCCCCGTCACCTACGGCAGAGTGACCAGCCAGCCGGTGGCCTGGCATGGCGGCCTGTGTCCTTGCCCTGAAGCTGGGGAGCAAGGTCAAGGCCGATCCGTTCCATCCTTCAGGGTCCATCAGTGTTGTAGAGCTTCGGGCCTGTTTCAAATCGATGGCCTAATTTTTTTTCATTGTTTGAATATTTAAAGGAAAATACTGGCCTGCCCATCTGCAGCCACGATCGGCCTGTCTTCCGGCCGTACCGACGCTGTCTGAGTGATCAACAGCCCTTGGGTGGCCATTCCCTTACCCGCTTAACCCTCCCTCCACGGCAGAATTTCCTGTTTCCCTGCTGCCTGAGCCCAGCTCACACCTGCACTGCCTTAGCCTTTCTTCCCAGTGACCCTTTTCCTCGAGATAAGCTGAGGCCCATGGGGTTGCTGAGTCCAGGACAGGGAGCCCCCGGGGGGAGGGGCAGGCAAGGGCGGGGCTCGGCCTATAGGTTGCCATGTGGATTTCCGAAAGAGTTTATTACCAACAAGATACCCAGCAACTCTGTGGGGTGTCCCGCTTTTTAGAATAAGATCCCTGTCAGCCCCAGAAGTGTCTGGAGCCAGTCCCTTTGGGAGGTCCCCAGGGCAGAGTCTGAGCTCTTTTCAGTCAAGTGCAAAGCCACGACGACGCGCCCCTCAGCTGAGCTCTTTGACCTTGTCGCATGCAGGTACCTGAGGCTGTCCCCAAACAACATCCGGACCCTGGTCAAGCTGTGCAAGGACGCGGGGATGTTGGTGGACATCCACCCTCACATGACCGAAGCGGAGATAGACGCCAAAAAGGTGTTCTCCCAGGCCTCCATGGTGGCCCTCTGAGCCGCGCCCCTTCGGGGGGCCCTGGGCTGCCAGGCACTACCCTGCTGTGCGGCGTGCCCAGCCTCCAGACAGCAGTGCTTAGAAAACAAGACCAGGCTGCATGGACCTGGTGCTGCCGAGGCGTGTGTCCTGGTCCCTGGGTCAGAGCCAGCCGAGGAGTCACGGGGCTGTCTCCCCCGAAACACGCCTCGGGAAGGGCTTCCGGGCAGGAGGTCTGAAAGAAGTGGGAGAGGCGGGCCTGGAGTCCCCAGGACTCGGAAGGTGGACGAGGGTTGCGGGGCTGGTCGAGGACACATGCACCCTGGGTCTCGAGAGCCAGGTGGCGTGGCTCCATGGGAGCTGGGGAGGCAGAGGGTTGCTCAACTGAAAAGGAGCCACGGAGGAGCTTGCTGGCTCACACAGACAAGGGGGGCAGAGTGGGGACAAGGCCAGTGGTCTCACCTTAGTCCCCGCTCTGCCGCCTCGCATCCGGGAGACCCTGGCAAACCCGTGGGACGCGTCAGACGCAGTCCCCATCCTGGAGCAGCTGCCAGTCGGGTCCCAGGCCCAGCTGTCCCGCTCGCTGGCCGTCACTTGGCCACTGTGCCTTTGTTCCCTCCTCAGTGAGAGGGACCGAGCAGGGGTGACGGGGGACCACCGCAGCCTTGCCCGGGAGACACAGCTCAGACATGGAGGCTTAAAAGCTCACACTGCAAACATGAGCTGTCCCCAGGGTCCCCTGGGGTGGACCAGCCCCCCTTTCCCAGAGGGGCCCTCAGAACTGGGCGTGTCGTTGTTGAGTGAAAAACCCTGTTGAAAAGCTGGTGATGACAAACCTGTATCCCCTGGTGGGTGCCCCCAAAGGCAAGTGGTCCCTGAGCCCCCAGGAGCAAGGGAAGCCCCAGGGGCCAGGGTCACTGATAAGCAGCCTCTGGCCGGCTTTCAGCTCGGCCTCCAAACACCAACCCGCGGGGTTTCTGCTCTGCTTTTCAAGTTCCCAGCCCCACCTTGAGGCTCCAAAGCAACCCTCAACCCTCAGAGGTGAGGGGCTCTCTCCACTGAGTCATTGCCTTGGGAGGCCGAGGAAAGCCGTGGAAGCTTCCAGAACCCCTTGGCCCCCACCCCTGCCCATTCGCAGCATAGTGGAGGAGCGGGCAGGTCAGAGGCGAACCCGGAGCCCGACCCCCACACAGTGCTCAGGCAGAGCCACGGTCGGGTCTCCAGACAGCCCTGCTGAGGACTGCGAGATGTCCCTGCTTTCCAGGAAGTGCCTGTCCCCCAGGGAGGGCCAAGTCTCCAAAAGGGGGAGGGAGGCCCTGGCCGGGTGGTACAGTCGGTTGGGGTGTTGTCCCTACAGGGCAAGGTTGCAGGGTGGATCCTGGTCGGGGAACATCCAGGAAGGAACCAATGAACGCATGAATAAGCAGAACAGCAAACTGATGTTTCTGTCTCTCTAAAATCTGATTAAACCAGGGACCCCCCCCCATGACCTCATCTTAACCTGATTATATCTGCAAAGACCCTGGTCCCCCCAGCAGCTGCCCACACTGCCCGAGGCAAGTGCCAGAGCTCAGGCCCCAGGGCACACTGATCTGATACTCAGCTCGGGTCTCTGGGGGAGTGTCCGCCCTGCCCCCAAACCCCGGTTCCTGGACGTGCTCATCCACATGTAACCCCTTTCCACAAACTAGAGCAATTGTAGCAGAAGGTGCACCCTGTCCCCAGGGGCCTGCTTGGTGCTCGCACACCCTTGGGGGGGGGGCAGTTGCTGTGGGGAGCCCACCTCTCAGACTCCAGCGACTGCACAGCCGGTTGCAGGCTTCCCAGGGGCCAGTGCAGACTGGAAAAGAGAGGGGAGGTGAATGCAGGGCAGAGACCACGCCCCGCCCAGCTGGGAGGGACACACGGGCGCCCTGGGGGTCCAGAGGGCTCCCGGGTGCGGACCCCACAGGCCCGAGGAGCCTGTGATTCAGCAGGTGAGCCCCGAGGCTCCCAGAGCGGTCTGAGCAAGGCCGGCCCTTCCGTGCCGCAAGCAGCCAGCGCACTGTGCTCCGGTATTTCACGCCCTGAGAAAGGACCTCGTGGAGGGGTGGAGGGGTGGAGGGGTGGAGGGGCGGCTGCTCTGCATTTCCTCAAAGTTTCCCCCAATGGGGGCCGACCCGGCCCTGGTAGTGAGGAGCGGGGCCGTGGTGCGGTGGGGAGATCTTTCAATAAATCGGGCTGGTCACACAGCCGTGCAGAAAAAGTACCGACACCCCCCTCCCCCAGTGCAAAAACCACTTCCAGGGGGACGTTAGAGGAGAATGGGGGCGTGTGTTTGGGGCTCGCTAAGAGAACGGGCTGGGAGAATTCTCATCACGAAAGAGTTCGTGCTGTACACATGAAACGAATACGATGTATGTCAGATATATCTCAAAAATAAAATTTAAAGTTAAGGGAAAAAAACGAAAACAATAGGAGGCTCCAAAGTGAAACAAGTCAGGTTCTCGCCCCTCTGTAGTTGCAGTTCCCCGAGGACGCCACCAGGTGGGGCTCGATCACAGCGGAAGAGCTGCAGGCACTTAGGCCCCACCGGCGCCGGTAGAACCCGCCGCCCAGGAGGGGGCACCTCCGGCCCAGCAGGCTGCAGTCTGAGCCCGGGGTGCGCGGCAAAGCCCAGCGCCCCACAGAGCCGCTGAGGGCCTCTGGGCACGTGCCTTCTCGAAGTTTCAATTCTTCCCCCCAAACGGGCAAAACAGGCAACTTAAAACAACACGAAGTCCCGCGTTAGCCCAAATTAGATTGGAAAATATTTTGTGAGCTGGGGAACGCAGGTGTGGCCCAGATAGGGGAAGGGAGCCCTGCCCCCCGCCCCCCCGCGGCCTCTCCCGGAGAAGTTTCCCGCAGACCTCACAGCGACCAGCAATTCCACTGTTGGGCAGAGAGGCCTTTGCGGGTATCAGGTGTGGGCGGGGTAGCTCGGTGCTGGAGACCCGCCCCTCCCCCCACCCCGAAGCTGGACGGCCTTGCACACTTGTGCGAAATATGAGAACCAGATGAGATGTGATACGCTAACCTGCGTACAAACTACATGCACTCGTGTACACAAGGCACTGATTGCTTCTGAGGACAGCGTGCCAGTGCTGGGACAGCTGGACGGGATTCGGGAGGGAGGGGGGAGGGAGGAGAACACCGGTTTTCCAGAGTCACTGGGAAAGAACCTGAGGGCAATCTCGGCAGTCTTCCCGAGCACCCCGCGAGCTCTGCGCGTGCCTCTGTGCACGAGGCCATGTAAGCAATACAACGGGCCAACGGAACAGACCAAAAAGAAAAATTCCCGCCACCCTGGGGTTGACACACCGACAGCTTCGAGTCTTAGTCCGTGATGTGGATGTAGAAGAAACGGCACATTTTCCTAGTCAAGTGACTACAAAGCCGATTAGATGCCGCTGTGTCCTGGGCTGGTGGAAAATTCCATTTCAGCCGTGCCGGGACATTACACAGAGCAGTCCACCGGGGCGTGTGGGAGGCCACACTGGTCACTGCTGGCTCAGGACGGGTTGCGGCCCACAGAAGCCAAAGGGTCCTCTGAAGACGAGCAGCACCAGGGGGTGCGCACTGAGCTGGCCGAAGGGCTTCTGCCGTCCTGCCTCCTGAGAGGCCACGCAGCCGGCTCCCTCAGGAAGGGCCCTACCAGCACACTTGGCAGGCCACCCCTCCCCCGCCCCACTCCCTGCACGCATGCACAGACTCCCACTGGGTCTAGGCAGCGGGAGCCGCTTTGCCTGAGGCATTGGCCTCCCCCAGGACGCGTTAGGCAGGCTTCACTGGTCAGAGCAGAGCCAGGCTGCAGGGAAAACAGGCTCAGGGGTGGGGGCTGAACCCCCAGAGGGGAGCGGCCGTCCAGCCCCAGCTGTGGAAACCACAAAGGGGAGGGTACAGTGCCCTTCACTCCGCTCCCCGTCATGAGAGTCGGGAGCAGGAGGACCTCCGGGCTATTAAGACGCAGCTGGTGATCCCACCACTGGGTTGTGAATAGTCCAGGGCCAGAGTCAAGGCCACAGCTTCTGCCTGCAGAGCCCAGGGCCTGGCTCTGCCCACCCCTGGCACGTGTCTCCTGGGCCCACACCGAACATGAGCCCACCAGCTCCAGAATAACCCGACTCTCAAGTCCAAAATACATTCCCTGTGGCCTTCACACTCAGGGACAGGCTGCATCCCGAGTCTGCTGAAACCTCCGGGGTGGGGGGTGAGGCCTCGCGGACACGGGCATTGGGGGGGTGCGGCTGGCCCCACAGCACACCCGTGTGGGAGCCGCAGGGCCAGATGTCAGAGCACCTGGGCTGACAAGGCGGCCTGGGCTCTCTCCTTACCTCGTCCACCGACTCAGGCATTCTGTCCACGTGCAGCAAATATTTACCGAGCTCTCTCCTTGTGACAAAGGCCGCCGAGCACCGGGGGTGCTGTGATGAGCGAACGCTGACACAATCCCGCCGCGTGGAGCTCACAGGTTAATTGGGGAAGCAGGCCTTAAATCAGTTTAAAACTACATAATTACTACGAGTGATGAGCGGCGCTGTGAAGCCAAGAGTGGGGTGTAGCCGACAACCACCGTTGGGGGAGGGGCGACCTTCCGCCGAGGAGGCGCATCTGAGCCCTGTCTGGACACGGCACAAAGGACCTGGGATTGATCGGCTCTGTCTGCTGCTGCGGCCACCGGATCGGAGAGGGCAGCGGACCGTGTTGCTGGAGTCCCCCAGCCCACAGCCTGGCTGCGTGTCCCTGTTCACGGGAGACCTGTGCCTCTTGCTGGGCCCTCTCTCTGGCCCTATGCCACCTGCCGGTACCTACCAAGCAGGACCCATGCCCCCAGGAGGCCGACAGTCCTTTTGGGAAAGTAGACTGCCCCAACGATGGAGAAGATGGGTCCAGGGCACCCAGAATCAGCGCTGAGTCCCCACAGACGCAGCCCCGTGAGGGCGGGCTTGCCGGGTAGGCTGCTGGGGTCAGGCCTGCTGGGACACCTAGACCATGGACGGCGG